ATGGTAACTATAACAATATCATCAATAATAATAAGAATAATAACAATAACAATGACAATAACAAAATAATAATAATAATAATAATAATAATAATAATAATAATAATAATGGAAATAGAAATAATAAAAATAACAACAATTCTAATAACAAGGTAACTGTTGAAATAAATGGAGTGATCGCAACAATGAATTGATCATAGTGATATCTAGTGTGTTCAAGGACGGAAAGAAATCGAGGAGTGGGATGAGGAATTAGGGACGGGGTCCCCGATACCCACAACACACCATTAACATCATCATTGTTTTCTTGATTGTTGCATTGCTACCCTCAACTACAATACAATTTACTGATAAGTTGCCACTAAATGACGATCACTATCTCGATGAGTTGAAGAAATTGAAAGTTGTTGTTTGATGTCATTTTGATTAGTTGGATGATTCAGTTTGCTCATTTTAAATCATTTCAAATTTCAATCTCGCTAATGATAAATATTTGGGTTGCAGTTTTACTTTTAAGAATCATCGAATTTTACTATTACTCAGCTGAGTTTTGAGGCCAAAAGATTCAAAAAATGATTATTCAGTTCAGCTGTTCCATTAGATCAAATCTGTGATGACAAAAATGAATGTATCGCATCAAGGAAGTTTCACTTTGCTGAATGATTACCTGTTAAAATAACTTTTATTTGTTAATACAAGTAAATGTTTAATAATACAAATAGATTTATGTATGAGACAGTTTATTCGAACCAATCGCCAAATTGATCTCAAATCAAACTTTGTCATCATTATATACCAACGGTTATATTATAAGGTACCTTATATACAAATAAATAGCGGTGGGAATGAAAATCATGAACAGAAATCTAGCGGTTTGCTGATATGGCGAATGAGTATTATGAAATAAGTATGTTTGACAGTATTCATCGCAAATGTGACACTTTCTCTTTCCCTTATCGATCAGCACTTATAATTCTCACGTGATCAAATCAGCGCCGTTTAGCTTCGAAATGCTTTTGTGCCTCTCCACTGTTTAGTATTTCCTTAAAAGCTATATTCAGACATATTAGCGATTTCTGGAGGAATTGTTGCATGAATTTTGCTCTCTATTTTGAGTTGTTCGTTTACAAACTGATTAGCGTTGGTATGGAATATTCGTTGCATTAGTTAACAACATGTAAAGTTATTTTTTGTATGCGCATTGCAATTACCAAAGATTAGTGGTTTATTTCGCACAATGTTGTCACTGCGTTGAATTTGAAAGTACTATGGTAGATAGTTATCGAACGCCATTGCATCAAGTCTTCGTATGCTGTTAGCGTGAAACTTGTCGTACGTCACCGCTTTTTCACTGCTTTTTTGAACGAAATTTTACAAATTACTCTGTTTTTCAGTCATCAGATTTCAACCTTGAAACATTCAGTTCACGCAAGCGACCGATCAAAAATTTTTTTCGTTGAAGGTGATGTCATCATCTTCTTTTCAAGGTAATTTGATGAAAAATCTAGGTTCAGATTTTCACATAGACTCTGAGAATGCGTATGAGTTTTTTACTTCTAAACAATTATTTCGAAGTTGTTTCTTGATTTTCTGGCACTCTATTCAGTCTTCGTTTTCTTACAGTCTTGAAAAAGTTAAGTGGAATGAACATCGAAATTAAGTATTAATATGCATACTGACTAGATGATCGCTAATTTGAGCCAGCCTCATAGCAAACAATTCAGCTCTCTGCACTGATCATGAATCCAATTTTCAAGATTGCTAGACGCCTTATCATTCATTTGCTTTGAAAAGGCATTTAGCGGATTTATCATATTCAGTTTGTATCATGTGGTATGAGGTCTGTTCAGATTTAGCATTCTCTGGTTATACCGTTCCCATGTGACTCGTTTCCATTCGATGTCATTTGATCATAGAGTGTGGTTTTTGTGACGCAGTGGAAACATTTTTTTTCACATTCCTTCATTTAAAAGGCGAAATCAAGATTTCGATAACTACAATTATTCTTTTGTATTTTCGTCGATGAAAAACTTTTACTGCTGAATTTTGTTAAATTTATTTCTAACATTTTAATCTGGAAGATGTCGCAGGAAATGAATTTTTTTCAGAGATAATTAAGTTTCAGAGATATTAAATCCCTTTGAATCTTCGACCATTGATGAGTCCGTCCCATTGAGGTATGTTTTTGAAATAACTTACGTGCAGTTTTAATCTCTAACAAACTTTCAAAAGTAATTCATGAGCATCAAAGTGGCAGTACGCCCTTCCAGAAAATTTTATTGCGCAGAGAGAAAACACAAACAAAATGAGTGAGTTGATCCTTGCTAAAGAGTTTTGACAAACGAAAACGCATTCTAACACCGCATTCATATTTCAAGGTTATAATGGCCGGATCTGTCCTGCTACCCGACGTTTTAAATGTTTCGGTCATCTTCCTTCGGATTTGTTCAACAATAACTCAGGGCTCAATATGCTCGTAATGAGTCGTAATTGCCGAATAAATGCTGATGCTTCTAGCTTAAATGTTCTTCTCAGGAACGCATCCAATCACTTTCAGCTTTCAACTGAGAATGATAGAGCTATTTTAAGGGAAAGTGATTGGCATGTCTCTGCAGTTCCAAATGAGTACATTGATAAATATCCACAGTCGTCATTCGACAGTGTAACGCTGAAAAAATCATCAGTGAAAAACATCAGCAATTCATTAATAAAAGGTGTGAATGAATTAATTAATCTGCTGAATTCATTCAATGTGAGTTTATACACAGTTTCATTCTACATGAAATTCGATTTCCAGATTCTCGACCAGAACACTTCAACGATTACCAGCGAACTGGGATCATAAATACAATCAGTTGTTTATCGTTTAAATGCGGTTGTATCATATGCCTGATCCTCTTGATTTTAGCAGTTGCTTTCGTAACGGCATATCCTGTATTTTCCTCAACGTCACCGAACATGGTTGAGTTGAGTGCCAGGAAACAAAATTTGACTACCTTTAATCTTACCAGGTGATGTTTCATGAAATATAAAGCATGAATAAAAGTTTGCAGAAATAAATGCTAAATCTTAATGGAGCGATAAAGTTGTTTCAAGCATTGATACTCTTTAATGTTTAGAGTATTACATGTTTCATTTATTCACTTTTGTTCACAATGCGGAATAACCAACAAATTTTTGACTTTCGTAGCAATTCCGGTGTATTAATTGCACATAATAATCCTCAAAAAATCGTGTAAATTATGGCGAATTTCCAATTGGGTGATCTCGCAATTTTAATTGGAGAAAAACAAAAAGTAGATTTGTTCATCGCAATGCAAATGTGCACTCACATTAAGCACCATGAATTTCAGCCCACTTATGACTTTGGATTCCGAGAATTATCTTCTTATTTTGTCACAACAAGATCACACAAGAACAGCGATGATTGTTCAGAGGTTCCCACTAAACAGTGCTCAGACTGGATTCAGGTGAGCACCTCATTCGTTCACTCTTATCAACGAGTTTACAGTGTATTTGCAGTATGTTCCATTGTATTATTTTATCATGTTAATGGCTAAAAAATTCTTTGAAACAAACCTATCCACTGAATGAATGTAATTGGAATAAAATCATTGCAATATACAAATATATTAGCCCATTAACTCAGTGGAACTAATAGCGACTGATTTTTCAATTTTTCAATAAAGCTCGAACTAACCAAATCCTACAAAGATTATTTGAAATTGGCTACACGTGAAATAGAGAAGAATCATTTCCGCAGTTTTAGTTGGTTTGTTTTTGGGTGAATTTCCCGAATTGCTACCGTGCAAGTAGTTATGTGATTATTTCAACTGTTCATTCTCTTCTCAAATATCATGCATGATCAATGAATAATACCAAAACTTATGGAATGTAAATAATAAATGAGAGTACTGCTTAAGGGAAAGTGTTGTTCCATTACCTAAATGGATGCATCAATGTCAGCAGTATTTTGATGATGTTTTCTGCTGCTTTCCTGATCGCTTACCGAAATCTGAGATTCATTGTGATATGCAAGGTTATTCTTATTGAACACAGCCTATGCTTTTAAGCAGTATTTGTTCAGAGTTGCCAGTTTATGAGTCAGTCCTAAATATTGATTAGCACCTATGTGAAAAAAATGTATCAAAGTGCTTTAATCATTGTTTGGACCTTTTTTGTTCATCATTGCTGAATTTTATGGGGATGAAGCTGAGTTTTTAGCGGCTTATTCTCATTGCTTCTTTGAAAGCAAAAACGTGCTTCTCAAATTCAACTTATCTCAGAAATTTGAAAAAATTCATCCAATGCATAAATAAAGTTAAAATTGCATGAAGCCGTATAAGTATCAAATTGCATTTGAGAACAATCTAATGAAATAAATGTTCAATGATCCAAGAATCCTGAAGGCGCCTTGGTCGATATTCCATTCTACCGTTGTTTCAGATGGTCAGGATCCATGGGTGGCACCGGGCAACTTTTGGCAAACACTGCAAGTCGACGGAACGATGGTAGTGCAGCATTTTGCGGAATACAATATTCTGGATACAAAGAAGAGACTGTAAGTCAGCTCAGCAAAGGAATCTTTCAAAGGACGATGATGCGAGAACTTGTGCTATTCGTTAAATAATGATCACAGCCAATCATTCAGCACAAAAAAGTATATGAATGAAAGAAAGTTTGAGGTGATGATGCAGCGAACGACGTTACTGATTCGCAAATAGTATCAATTCTAGGCACTTCAATGAGTAAATGTTCCTGAAATATCATGCGGCCAATACTAACGGCCTCTAGATAAATATACCTGATGTCTCAATAATTAAATTTCATTAAGGATTTATCCAGTAAAATTCGACGAAAAGCCTCTCGATCTGAGACCCGCTTCATTCTTCTTCCCAATGGAAAACATCATGGATCTGACTGAAATTGGTGAGTCCATGCACAAATAGACGAGTTAATCTTGAATTCGCTGAAATAAGTTTGTACTCTGTACGCCTTTGATTACTGTGTGAATTTTGAACTTACCTTCAAAATGTGCATAGAATATCATGAAGTAAGGCGTGAAGAATAAGTTGTGATGGATTGTAAAACGCACGTCTCATATCGTGATGCATTTTTAGCCATTCGAGACGATCGTTTCTTTTTCATTTGCGAGTATGTGAAGTTAAACATTCAACAATTTCGTTTGGTTGGTGATACCGACGAAAAATGTCATAAAACGAGGTGATGTAATGAAAATTTCAATTTTTTACTTGTTTCGACCGATTATTGACCACAAAGTATCCGAATCATTCTGAATCCATAAGAGTACTAAGCTGTTTTCATGTCGTGCTTTACGACGCAACTTACAAAATATAAAGGGTTGTACCGTGCAACCCCATATCAATTTTATCCCACCCTCAAAAATTTTTTCCTCCGTAAAAACTGAAATATAACATTCCCTAGAGTGTATCTTCAAGTTTCTGCGATAGCTTATGGCTTATTCAATCATTATGGAACGAGCACTGCATCAAGATACATAATGCATTTGAAAGCATCAAAGTATTCTCCTTGCAGATGCAGAATAATGCTCAAAAGTATAAGTTTTCTAATAGAGTGTAAGCAATATAAGCAATCAAGAAAGCCGCCTCACTTAATTTCAAATGAATCGGCATCCTTCATGCATAAAAATTCAGTTTTATAAAAAAGGATGGAATGCGTGGATTACGATTTTGTACGAATCCTATATATCATGCGATTATACAATACGATACGCTACGCCCTCGTGAACATCTGTATATGCAGTGGCAATTACAGGTCAAATGAGTATTATTTTTCTGCAATACTGTTCGTGGATTTGCGGTTGTAGTTCACGTTGATTGTCACATTGCATGTTCACTTCTCTTACGTTTTAAGACTCTGATCAGGCTGGCTGGATTAATGATGTTTCTCTTACACAAATTTGGGAAACTGTTCTGTTCTGTCCTTCAGTTGTTCTGTTCCGTCCTATTCTCCGCGTTCTCTCTTCTGGAACTGTTCTGTTCTATTCTTTAGAATAGAATAGGAATAGAACACCACTGGGTTGGGTGGATACATCCAGTGATTAATAAACTAGGTGAAAATATGTCCCCTTTAGGTACAAATTCACTTTAGAACGATCAGCTAAAATTGATTTTGATGAAAGATACATTCCAGGTATCTTACAGAGAAGACGACAGAAAAATTTACAAATATGACGCTGTAAACATATCGCCGAGCGGTCAAATCGTTATGGAATGTAATATCACAGAGATCAACGTATATGTCACTGGTGATGGAGTTCTTCTCAAATACGTTATCAGTTTACCCAAATCTGACCTGAAATCATTATTGGGCAACTCTTTCTAAGAGTACAAAGTTGAGAATATATGTACCACTGTTGAATGCATGTGTTTTGATTTATTCGATCATGTTGATAAATAATATTGCAGATTGAAAATGATTGGAAACGATAATCGTTTTTTCAAGATATCGCTTTGTAATGCTGACGATTTTGAACGTTTAAAATATCCTTCTTTTTTGAATTAAAAATATCAACCGCCTAGACCTGGTATGGACCAACTGAATATCGAATATGGAACCTTTTATCCGAATTCAGAATTTTCTGGTGATTTGTGTTTATATCATTGAGCATTACTGGAATTGTTCTTGTCACATTTCGAGACTCTTAGATAGCGATTAGTTTTTTGTTTGCAGTTATATCTTGTTGGGTTTGAGTGACCATTTTCGCATGATTGGATTTGATGATAAATGAAGGGTTATGAGAATGGAACTGAACTAATCCTGTCCCATAAAAGCATCAGTAAGATCATATCTGAAGGAGACTATATCTTTTGTGAACTATTCGATATACTCGTTCACTACTGGTTAAGGCATCACCGTAAACAACTTCTATATTCATTCATGCTTATTTATCGTGAATTCTTTCTGTTCCTCTGAATTTATGACAAATTTTGCTTCATATTCACTTGGCCACTAATTATTGATCTGGCATCTGCTGTTTATGGAAAAACGTATTTGCTTGATAAAAATTTCACCATAAGCATCACTGAACTTGTCCACATAGTGAAGCATTGGTTTGTTCTGCTCTGTTATTGAGATCAAAAGAATTTATCTAAAATTTTTACAGTCAGATGCTCAAGGAAATAACGTTACAATATGTAATAAACTCACATTTCAGAGCAATACTTGATGCCTCTGTCTGAGTGTAAATGAATCATTCGCTTGAAATTTTCCAGAAAGCAGGGAAATAATTTGAACACGATTACTGGGCATTTTATCAAAGCATGTAATATGATGAAGTTTCACACATATTTAAGCGTCGAATTGAAATACTTCAATTTAATATGTAGCCCACATTATTTGTTAGTAACCTCTAATATCCGATGCAAAAATGTTCTCAAACTTTTTGTTCATCAGACAATTCGAAGGCGCAAGAATGATGTTTATAACATCAATACTATTATTGTTCACATTAAGAAAAACGGCTGCAGAATTCATGCTCCACAGGCGATTGTTGCTCTTACTGGATCAATTGAGTACCTTATAGATGCGAGGAAGTTATGGACAGTTAGAAGTTAGCAGAGCATTATTAGTGCTTCTAAAGGTTGTTGGAATGGTGCATCGCGAGAAAATACCTTATTAAACAGTTTCAGTTGCATCGACTGTTGTATCATCATGAGTTTTTTGATCCAAAATGAATACGATCATTTTTCTTCGACATTCGAAACTATTAAATAATTTCAACAATTGCAGTCATTTCAGCACAAAACTCCTTTTTAAAAATGTGCAATTACCTCTTGCTTGGATTGTATAATAATTGAATATTATCGTTTTTTTAATCCATTGCTGTAGCAATGGTCAAAGTTTTTTCAGTACATGAAGCTGAATTTTTGAAACCTCAATGATTCTTTTCTTGGGTTTGTGGCTTCTTCATTCACGACAACGGGACATCTTTCACAATTTCTGCTTACAAATCAAGGAGGGATTACCCCACACTACCCTCAGTGAAACATTGCGAAAAAATTCCTTGAACAGTTATTTTCCTATTAGCAAACTGTTTGGAATTTTATGATAGGTTATGGCGTTTTCAACCATGATTTATTTTAGCATTTCACTGAACGAAGTATCAGATGCAAGAAATATTTCAACTGATAGTGCAAGTGATGCTTTACATTCAGCAAAGAAACATTCACAGTTATGTCATTCAAGTGGAAGCATTTCCTGTCGCATCATAATCCATAAAGTTTAAAGTGACCACAAGTTAGAACCTGGCACAACCACTCGGCCATAGTTGTTCAATGCAAGTATCTGACATGCGGAAGGTGCTCTGAAATAGATTCATTATTAGAGAAGGATAAAGCATTATAAGGTAGAAAGATGAGCCACAGTATTAAGCGAAATCTACAGTGTACTACTTGAAAGTTTGGTTTTCATATAACCAAATTTCGTTTCTAAAATGTGGTGAAAGTTTGAGATGGGGTGTACGTTAGAGATAGGGAGAATATGCCGATGGAATGATTTGGAAATGGGACATTCTGAAGTGAAATGACACGTAAGTGGCTCATCGTTGACAAATTGGCGTTCTTTACATTTTTTAAGGTGCATTAACACCGATTTGATTATTGACCTTAAAAAGCTGCTACATTCAAAATAACAAAAGCGAATGAAATGTGCAAAGTGGTGTTTGAAATGTTCGTTCGTCTGTCATAGTTCAATAGAAGTAATTTAATGATACTTTAGTGGTTTGATTTAACCACTAAAGTATCATTTCCTATGTATATTTTATTTTTTATTTTTTTATCGCAAGTATCATTTCTTATGTATATTTTATTGCAAGCGATCCACAACGTTTCAATAGCAATAAGCAAGCGAATGAGGAAAACGCTCAGTTCGAGTGAATTCCGTTTAGAGCCAAAAGAAAGACGATGTGGAGGATGAGGGAACTAATTTACTGCGGTGTTTAGCAGTGAATCTGTTCTTAATAAATGAAATGTTTTGTATTCATTTCTGATCTGTGACTGTGACTTTCATTGATTCGTGCTAATAGAGGAGAACTGAGGATGTTGGTAAATCATTGTAGACTGATAATGTTTTCATAAAATTCTTCCATAATCGTTCAAATTCGTTTTCAAAATGTTTGTTCGATAACGGAGCAATGATTCCTTTGACACCATCGACGAATTCTTCACAGCAAACTTTTTGGTAAACGGATGAATTTGCAGACTTTGCTGTGATCTGTCGTTCAGAAGTAATACGTTAACAGAAGAGGAGAGGAGGAGGGATGGCAGAACGGTATTCACTTAGCTTATTGGACAATGGGAAAACGGGGTCCATCATATGATCAAAAGATGGCATGGAGTACGAGAACGTGAGTACCACTGCCCTAACTCATAATCCTTTCTCTCTAATTAGTACTTCACTTTTGTATAAAAAGTATTTTTCCGATTAGTTTTGCAGAAGCTGAGCCCTCTTCAATTTTCTCTCTATTTTCAAATACCTCTAAGAACAACATCGAAATCCAATAAAGATTTTGGATAGGCGTGTAACTGAACGCATGTCCTCTATGCTCATCGGATCCTCAAAGCACACTTTGACGCCAATACATTACCGTCCCATCGCATGCTCCTACCAAATCTACTTGCTCGCTCCTTCCAACATCACATCATCTATTTATGTCGGATTATCGCAACAAATTCCACATAGACAGACAGACCTTCGATTGCTCTCAGCGATATCCATATAGCCATACGTACCAACACCGTACTCATTAGTCACTTGCACGTTAAGTACGCCTTCGGTCGTTTGTTGCAGTGTACCACTCATTGTGACTATTCCTGAATGGTTTATTTGAAAACGCTTTGTGTGCCAACAAGCGATCATCACTATCATAACCAATACACAAACTCATACCCTCCTCTTTGTTCAGCCATCTGAAGAAGTCAACTGATGTTGCATCGCTGTTGCTCCATTGCTTGATCTGTTCGTTCCATCGTAGTCCTATGTGCACGTTTCTCGCATTAACACCTTCTCTTATGGCCAAATCTATAAGACACATTCATTGCTTTCTTTCCGGTTATTTCATTGTTCGAAGCTTGAACCGACTCCCACCCCCGCAGGGGACATGAGTCATCACCATTACCAATTTGTTTTTGTAATTTGCTAATGTCGACTGAAATAGTGCTTACAACGTGGGTTACGTCCATTTAACATAAATTAACAATTAAAATTAAGTCGTTTTTAACTCCATGAGCGAGGAGTTCATTTTGGACTTATAAGTCCATTTCTAGTCGGATTTAGTAAATTTGGAGAGCTCGCTCGTAATCATAATTTTGTGCTCTTCAAAATGACATCTAACTCGTCTCGTTACTCTGCATTCGTTAAATGTCAATTTATTTTTAAAGAATTAGTATTTCAAAAGAAGTTGAGTTTATTTCGGCATATGAATCTATTTTGATGCTTATGTCAACGTGATAATCGTCTATAAGTGGAGCACTAATCGTTTTCCCAGAAGAATACAAGAGGAATCAGAATTTGGAGTGTGCATGAACTTAGTTTTATGAGCTCAAGTGCATGTACCTAATTCTTTTCGGTTGTAAAGGGAATGATTGGTGAAAATCAATATAAGCTAATGTAAGGGTAGTTGATGAAAATGAATGTGACAAACTGGCGATAAACTGTCCAGTTTCTTCGTCATGCAACACCGCTAATGAGCCGTTCATTCGACGACAAGCCATCTCTGCATCGTTGTGTGTCATTGGATTGACGTTGATTTTGTAGCAATAAAGTCCTCTCAACGCATACCCTTCGGGACATTTGAATTCATCCTCTGAATTAGTTTCTTTACGCGCCAATAAATAACTTTTAATCAATTGTTCTTCTCAGATAAATAATTTCATTCCCCGTTCGGAGTATTTTCCAGTTTAATTTGCATTTTAATTTGTCCCAGCAAGAAACAGATTTTTTTTTCAAAATTTTAATTAATTGGTCAGTTCTCATCCAATGAATAGAACAGATAGCCAAGCATGTAAAATTTGTTGGTTATTCTTACCATATCGACATAAATATGAATATTTTTGTGTCGTATCAATCTGTGTCGCAAAAAATTGATTTTCCGTGATAGTGTATCGACTCTCCTAAAAGGAGACTTTAACTATAATGTGTCTCTATTAGATAAACACATATTGCCGATCACGTTTCGTAAAGGAACAAAACTATCGAGAGGTTGAACAATACAGCTGTGCAAAGCATTCATTAAAATGCCGCGATGAATATGTTTCCATCTTCAGTTGATTGCAGAATCAATCGATGATTTGAACTCACCGTAAGTAATCCGACAGCTTTCAGTTGATATTTAACAACTTCATCGACAACAGCAAGACTCGCGCGGTAACCGTTTAAATGTTGACATATATTGGCATAATTCGATGATTTATCGGCCTTCACTTCATCAACGCTTCTTGGTTGTCTTAATTCCAGAATGTAGCACAATCCATTTGTAAAGTAACTCAACGATGGATACGCCAGGCACTTTTCTTCCAACAGTGATGCTGCAAACATCATTCATATAGTATACAATCCTAATCGGTTATGGCTATTTCATTCTCAGAGTGTTCTGATCTCGAATTTGCAAACCATTGATGATAGCATAAGCTATTATAGATGTGGAATTTGGATTTACTTTATCCCAACCATTTTCCACCTATCTTTTCACTTATTCAGCTAATAAATCACTTTTGAAATTTCAATACCCATATTTCAAACTTTGACGCTCACATTTTTCGAAAGTAGCTTTGAAATTTAGTCGTAGATTCATTGTCAATTTCTCATCACTTTTTGAAACGATAATCGCCCATCAAAGCAAATCTTCATTGCGCAAGATCATAAAAAGTAATTGTTTATGAAAATATTTCCTTTATACAAAAAGCGCAATCACTTTAAGGGTCAACAATGAGAAATTTCAATAAGTTTCTGCAATGACGAACTGCCACGTAAGATTTGATAGAAAGAAATCGGTGAATTCAGTAGTATAATTGCATACTGTAAATTTGGTTGCCACTCACCTGGTGTACCACAATCTGCTGAGGTGCCATAGAAGGTAGCAAATAATGCTAAGAGGATATGGAGCGTCATTGTACTCTGAAAGAGTGGAAATTTCATCATGAGGTTATCGAAAAAGCGAGTATTAGAATGCGAAGAATAAGTAAGGATTATCGCGACACAACATACGAGTTAACTCATTTTCAAGAATATTCCGTTGCCTACGAATTGAGAATGACAATATGGATGAAGAATAACGATTTCATAAAATTTATGTGGCAATTTGTGCGCTAAGAAACCAACAATTTTTGTTTGTTCAATGCTTTTTTCAACTCATTTGAACTTAACATGAACGGATAATTTCACATTCTCTACAGTGAATAATTATAAGGAGTACAAGTAACAGTGAACGGCTGAACGTATTTCGTTGAATAGAATCCAGGTGTGAAGTATTTGTCACAGGTGTTTCGTCGGAACAATTATATATGGCTCTTATGTGATGTACACCGAAAAAATCTCTGTAAAATTATCAGCAGAGTTACAAGAACAAGCTTTGAAAAAGAACATCCATTGCTTTACTCTTCCTTTTTGCAATTCAAAAGAAATCGGTCATTTCCGCAATGAAGAAATTATTAATGAGAGAGAATTTGGTTGTTGAATTCAACGAGCGGTAATATTCATGTTCACTGAATGTACTAACCAAGTGGCGTGGCAAATGATTGAATTTTGATGGCGTCTTGTGGAATGACATAAAAATGATAATTTGATGCTTGAAAAACGAATGCAAAGAATCATTAAAATTTTTATGTGGATAAATTGGATAGCATTCGAAGAAAATATCAATAAAATGAGAACCAGTGCAAATGCTTCTTGTTCAACAACCACTTATTCTTAGCTGTACAATTGATAGTCGAATAACTTTTTGCCGAAATTAGCATTCATTCAGCAGATGTATGCAGCAATAGTTTTTCATGCGAGAAACGAATCAAAAATACTGCATTTTTGAGGATGCATCAAATTATTTGCAAATATCAACTAACATACTGATTTTAGATTTGCTTTTTAAATCTACCACTCACTGGTCCTTGAATTCTGTGATCAACCAATTCGTAAGTATCGAATTTTTACGGATAAATGATGGGCTGACTGATAGCACTTGTTTCCAAAGGAGCCGAAGGTGATTCGTCAAGAGAAGCCATCTACGTTTTATATGACAGTAATGTGGAAAGAGAAGTAAAATTGGCCGTGAGTTGCGACTACTCATCAGTGCTTGAAAGTGAGAGTCATGAATATCTGCGTTAATCAGTTACAGAATAAATAGTTGGTTGAAATTCCAATTCCGACCGAATGGCTTTGAGGTTCGATAGGAATACCGAATTTCGGAATTTAAAGAATGAATTCGGTCGGCTTTCGATCGATAAGTTCAAATTACGGCCGGAATATCGAATTTCGGAAACTTACGAAGTTAATCCGGTCGGGTTCCGACCAAACCCAAATCTCATTCGTTTACCATCCCTACCAATTAACAACTATATTCTGCAATGTCATAAAAGTTCCTTAGCGAACATCCGTTTCAAAGAGATGCTAGCTCCTGCGGTTGTATGTTTTCAAGGTGTTATGGAGACCAGTTGTTCAGAACAACTAAAGATACGTTGGTGCTAAGTTGGGGTTTCGCGTCAATCGCAGTTAGCTCATTTCAAAACAGAGAATCAGTCTGAGTTTATAGTCTTCAGTTTCCATTGATTTACACTCAAACTTTCATACCACTTACGGATACTTTAGAGGAATTATGTTCCTTATCTTTCAGGTGATAATATAAATGATAATGAGATGGATTATGATTGCATGTCAAAATCAACAACATTGTATGCACCGTTGCATCATTGAGAGTGTCGCGATAATATAATTAAGTTGAAAGTGTTTTTAATACAGTTGAGTCGGTGGCTACCGAATTTCGAAGGCCACCGAAAGTGCAGTCGGGAGCCCCGATCGATTCCCGGGCGCGCTCACTATTCGGTGGCCCCTAATTGCAACTGCCAGGGCATGTTCGGTCCGCAGCCTCGGCAAACCGAACTGATCGACAACCGACCAAATGCTCAAAATTCGCCTATCGGTGGCCACCAATTGGGTTTTCGGCCAATTGCCTCCGCAGCTTTAAGTAAGGAATTAAAATCACCTGAATGGTTTTACCGCGTCCTTAAACCATGGGGATCTACTTTCCAAATCAATTGATTCTTATTGATATCACAAATCTAAAGAAAATTGATCGTTACATGGGTCAGTTTGTCAACGAATGGCGCGCCATCATCTGCTTCGTTATCTTATGAGTATCAGAAAGTAGTTACATTTAGTGTTGTGTTTGACTAAATGGTTCCATTTTGTCAGATTTATTTGGTTGGTGAGCGGTTTGCTGTTCGGTTTGGTTAGTGTGTTGTATGTACGACGAAGTTTCAGAGAGTTTTGCGTCTATATCAGATGAAGCAGCGGTAGTGTTATAATAATTACAATGATGTCAACAATAATGTTGAGATTTTTTGCAAACATTTTATCATTCATATAGCGAGACACAACGTTTTTGGTTTGTGATTGGGCACAACTCAATAATATTATGTCAGTTGGAGTTATTGAGGTACTCTGAACACGGACGAATTATTGAACTAATAGAAATGTCGCTACCTTATCACGGTGATGAGGATTTTCAACGGAGAGGATCATACAGTCCTGCAGAGGTTCAATTCTTTACATTATCGTTTCAAGGACATGCCACTGTACTGGTTTAGCTGAATTTTCGAAATACTGTTAATGAATTACTTCCGTCAGGGTATAGAACCAGTGCGACAAGTTAGTAAGCACCCAGCTCGAGGTGTTGATCTGACAGCGTTTGATAATGAAAACGTAGGCCGCGCACGTGGATATGCACCAAATTCCATGTAAGCCTTGCTTGGTTGAGCTCGTTTTCAGAATAATTTGTTGTTATGACATATCTGTTAATGTGATCATCATGATGAACTGAATTCAGACAAGATGGCCCATGGGCGAAATTCAATCGGCGAGTGGAGTCGTTCAAAGATTATTTGGTGGGTAAAGGCTTTACCTTTCTGCGGAACGTCCCTGCGATGGTCATTCTGATCGTACTCATCATCCTAATTCTGCTCATATTTCTTCTCTTATGGGCTGTCTTCGCATGGCTGTTCGGTCGTGCTCAGATTCCACAGGAGGTCCTCGATATGCAACGAACGCACAGCGTTTGGCCACCAGTCGAAAATGACAGACCTTTGGCATTACGATTGGTTTCATCCAATGCTCTTCTACCACCGAATGTGTCTGTCTGTGATGGCTATGGTTTTTCATGCACGAATCTTCCGAATCTTGTCATTGGTACATTACAAAGATGCGACGGAGTAGCAGATTGCCCGGACGGTAGTGATGAGATAGGCTGTAAAGTTTGCCAGACGGCATTCAGTTGCTTGGCCCCAATCGCAACGTCTGCAAATATGATTAAAAGCCAGCAACAACTGATCTGTTTACGAGGTTCAAGTCTATGTGATGGTGTTAAAGACTGTGCTGATGGCAGCGATGAAAATCATTTCTGTCGTAAGACCAAATGTGAAAATGCTAGCGATTTGAAATGCCATGGTGCTGGAGGACTACCGATGTGTTTGCCAGAATCGATGGTTTGCGATGGTGACGAGCACTGTCGAAATGCTGAAGATGAGACAAATTGTGTTGGTAAATGCAAATTTGGTTCAAAATGGTGTAAATTAACCAAGCGATGTGTACCAAAATGGCAAATTTGCGATGGTATCAGCAATTGTGCGGATGGTTCCGATGAAAAGGTTGGTAATTTGTTGTCTTAGTTTTGATTTCGAAAGTGTTTATTCCGAAGGAGAACTGACCAAGATGTGTGCGTTTATTCATTCGAATGCACTTTAAGGATTGTAATTGCAAAGAATGTTGTGGGACTGGGAAAGCGTTGTGTGAAAGATCAAATATGTGTTTGAGTCGTTCGCGTATTTGTGATGGTGTTGAGGATTGCCCGGATGGGGATGATGAGAAGAGATGCCCGGGGAGTTGCCCACAATTACCCGCAAATACCATGGTATTTTCTTGAAACTATAATTCAACTTTCGTCATATTCACTACACAACTTGTAAGTTTTATTGCGATTTTGATTAGCATAGATATCGTTGCAGGATGACGAGTTGATACAGTGCTCGGATGGTAAGCGTTACAGTCGTAAATATGCATGCAGTGGCTTACTGAAACAGTGTGAGGGAAAATGTTCGGAATGCGATGCAGAAAGTTCATTTAAGTGCTTAAACAATACTAAGTGCATTCCTAGAGTGAAGGTTCGTTGATCTCATAGTGAAAATAATAAAGATTTGTTAAATATTATGAACAATATGATGGTAGCAGTAATATGAAACGTACAGCTTTGCGATGGCAATAGCGATTGTGGCGACAACTCAGATGAAGCAAATTGTGATTGTGATCAGTTGCGAAGAATGGGTGAAGTATTTCAATGTGGTGCAAGTTCGATCGGCCCTAATACTAAATGCATACCTGCTGTAAATTTTTCATTTATTGCCTTAATATTGACTGTTCATTTCTTAACGCTTATTGTTATCACATAATTGTTTTGTTGTTTATAAAGATATGCTTTAAAGCGGCGTCGTTGTGATGGCTATGAGGATTGTGCAGGCGGCGAAGATGAACGTAATTGCGATAACTGCAATTCAGATTTGAATGCAGTTTATTGCAATACAACAAGAACATGCTTTGCTAGTACAAAACGGTGCGATGGTTTCAAGGATTGTCCGAATGGAATCGACGAAGAAAACTGTACTTGCGAAGGTTGGTGAACTGTCGTTTGTAGTAGTATCATTATTACTATTAGTATTATTGCTGTTGTGAACATTATTATTATCGTTACTATTGGTATTATTATTGTTAATATTATTGTTATCATGCGTTGATATGAACACAAATTCGACTTCAGAGTGCCGTAAGCAGCCTTATGGAATGTATATGTGTGCCGGATCGTCGAGATGCTTCCCACGTTCACGTGTTTGTTCACCATTTTCTTCATGTCCACATGCGTCCAGTCTTGACAAACTTTTCTGTGCAAACAAAGCCCGAGTAGAACGCTATGGTCCATAGGGGGTTCGGTTTCCTAAGTATATTGTAATTCGGTTGAATTTCACTTCAAAAATCGCCTTCATCTGCAAATTTTCGAAGCGAATTCAATTAGCGATTGCTTATACTACATCCAATTTTTTGCAAAATTTTAATTCTGTGACTTTCAAATAAGGTGTTAAACATCAGCTGCTTATCAACTAAGTCAGCTTGAATATTTGTATTATTTTTATTCGTTACTGCTATTTATTTTTGGTTATTCTTGTTATCCTTCTTGTCATCGTTTTTATTACTTTTTAATTACTGTTATAGCGTTCCCCCTGCCACTTTGTCATTAAATAATAGGTAGCCTATCTTTGTGTGTGCATCATTATAATATTACTTGGGCTGTGATAATTTCTTCATGTATCTGTTCGTGCTATTTGCACCTGTCTCATTCTTTATTGTGCTCAAGATTAAAGCTCAATGTCTCTGAACCGTTCCTACCTCATGGGCAAAATTTCAGTTGAATTTCATCGATCTCGTTTATTGTAATGTTCAAGTTGGTTCAGTATGCTAAAATAGTTTTTTAAATTAATTATTGATTGTCTGTTGTCATTATCACTGTTTAATAGATTCCAATTTCTGGAGCAGCTGCAAGGTGATTTGTTGCAACGTTGGCGCAATAGCTTGGCGTTTTAATTTCGTAAATGCATTTGGTGTTTTACGCAAATTGAATAAATAAATGTTTGATCATTGTGATAACCTGAATGAGATTGATGGTTGTTTGGAAACACGTAGTGCATAACGATGTATGCATGTATGAGATGAACTCATGTTACTCTTTGCTTGCATATTGGTTGAGGGCATGAAAATTGAAAAGTTCGGTGAATCTATCTGAAGCAGCTGCAGTTATCACTTCAGAGTGCAGCCGATTCCTACGGTAAAAACGGAATGAAATGAAAATGTGAGTAATTTTGAACGCACATAGACAGTTCGCCATGTACAAATTGAGGAACAGACGTCACAAATAAACTCACCAAATCTTTTAAAATGTAAATGAGAATGTGTTTCAGTGATTCAAGATTCGATCACCTTCATGGATTCAATGCGTTTACGCAAATAAGGAGAAATATTTATTCATTCCTTCAAACAGTACAGCACTTCATAGTTCGCTGTAGTGCGATTGTGTTACATTTTTGGTTGGTTATTTTTAAACCGTTAGGAAGTACTATTTATGGTGACAATGAAATTTATTTCTTACAAAGTTGAAAAATATTTCATCTTCACGATTCTTCACAACAGCATCATACTGATATAGTGTTTCCTTTTGTTTTACATTAGCACAGAAATGTACCGAACAATACTTGAGGGTGGAATTTTGAGCGGAAAGTTTCGGAGTGTCTTCAGGGCACAGATTTTGTTCCAGGATTGAGATTAAAGAGCCGATCAAATTTTAAGAAAGCCGTCATTAGCGCCTGTCTTAAAATGAATTACAGGAGTGAATCATTTGAGTTTATTTCGTGGTTGAAGCAATAAAATTTCATATCAGTATTCTCTTTTTCAACTTATATTGT